CACTCACTTAAAAAATTCCCCCCTCCGGAAAACAAAAAAAAAAAAAAAAAAAAGAGAGGCGGCAACGCCTGGTTGAGCTGCGCTAGAGAAGCAAGAAGAAGAAGAGCTGCTTTAGTAGCATGTTGTTACCATGGCGAAGAGATGCTGTTTTTTTTCCACCACGGTTCCAAAACCCCTTCATTTGGCTATCCTTAGGCAGACAAACACACACACACACACACACACACATATCTTCAAAAAACGCCTAAAAACACATCAGTTCCATCTTTATTTGACCCTCTAAATCTAGCACTTTCTATTCTATTTTAATTCTATATTATCTATTTTCTTTCTTTTTTATTTGAAAAAAATAGCTTTCTAATTTTTCTATTCTATCTACTTGTTTTTCTTTGTGTGTGTGTGAGTGAGAGAGTGTGTGGGTGTGTGTGTGAGAGTGTATGTGTGTGTGTATATATATAAAAAACCTTGCTAGGTGTACTGCGTTAGGCTAACCGAGACTTGTCATCTGCACTTACATATTGTTGCTCTTTTGTTAGTTTTGATTACTTCTATTGTCCTCATTTGTAAGAGCGTCTGCTAAATGACTAAATGTAATATAAATATACATATAAACACACACACATATACAATATATATACACACACACACACACACACACACACACACACACACACAGAGTATCTCACAGAAGTGAGTACACCCCTCACATTTTTGTAAATATTTTATTATATCTTTTCATGTGACAACACTGAAGATATGACACTTTGCTACAATGTAAAGTAGTGAGTGTACAGCTTGTAAATTTGCTGTCCCCTCAAAATAACTCAACACACAGCCATTAATGTCTAAACCGCTGGCCACAAAAGTGAGTACACCCCTAAGTGAAAATGTCCAAATTGGGCCAATTAGCCATTTTCTCTCCCCGGTGTCATGTGACTCATTAGTGTTACAAGGTCTCAGGTGTGAATGGGGAGCAGGTGTTTTAGATTTGGTGTTATTGCTCTCACTCTCTCCTACTGTTCACTGGAAGTTCAACATGGTACCTCATGGCAAAGAACTCTGAGAATCTGAAAAAAAAGAATTGTTGCTCTACATAAAGATGGCGTAGGCTATAATAAGATATATATATATATATATATATAATTTTGTATTTTATAGTTTTTCATTTTAATGTTCATTTCCTGAACATTACAACCCCAACATTTATCTGTGTGCTGCACATTTGATGGAGATCAGCTTCCAGAACCTGAGAGAGTACAATGCCAGCTACGCACAAAAGCTTCTCCTGCAGCTGTATAACAGTTTTACTGCAGTTTATGTAATACTGTTCTAATTTAATGATCACTCCCCTTTAAAATAGTCACATTTTGTTGCTTTACAGACTGAAATGAAGATGGACACTGTTTCTGTTTTATCCAGCTGTATTGCTTACTTATAACGTCCAAATGAAATGTATACAAACTGAACAAAATATTAAGAATGGGGGAAACATTACAAGTATTCGCATGTCACACTGGTGAATCGTATACAGGTTGTAAGTACTGCTTCAAAATGCCAAAAGAAGAAACAGGAGAAAGAGACAAAAAATAGAGGGTAGGCAATTTATTGAAAACGGCATTTAAACTCAAACAGGCTGTTCATCAGCTGATCAAAAGTTTACGACCATAGCCTTAAAAAGTTAAAATCTGCGCATAAATATGGCTTTCATGTCATTGTCCTTCAGGCAGTCACACTGTCATGATGTCCTGGTGGCAAAAGCAAAAAGGCTTTCTGTATTTGAACGTGGCAGTATTGTTGAGCTGCACAAGCAAGGGCTCTTGCAACGCGCCATCGCTGCCGAGGTTGGGCACAGTAAGACAGTCATTTTACATTTCTTAAAAGATCCTGAGAGTTATGGGACAAAAAAAAGTCAAGTGGTAGATCCAAAAAATGGTCACCTGCACTGAGCCGGAAGATCCGACGGGCTGTCCGTGAAGACACCGGCTGATCCTCGACCCAAATTAAGGCCCTTACTGATACTGACTGCAGCCCAGTAACCATAAGATGGCATCTGCGAGAGAAGAACAAAAAACGTCTTCCAAGGCCACGTCTCCTCCCACGCCACAAACTTACCCGTTTGGAATTTGCAAGAGAGCACCAAACATGGGACATTGAAAGGTGGAAGAAAGTTTTATTCTCTGGCGAGAAAAAATTTAACCTGGAAGGTCCTGATGGCTTCCAACGTTACTGGCATAACAAGGAGATTCCACTGGAGATGTTTTCTACATGGCACAGTGGAGGAGGCTCCATCATGATCTGGGGTGCTTTTTCCTTCAATGGGAAAATAGGAAAAAAAGTGTGTCTTGAATCAAAATCGATTCAAGAATTTGAGTGAACTTCACAAGGAATGGACTGAGGCTGGGGTCAAGGCAT